AAGTTCACCTGGACCATCTCTGATACCTCTCTCCTTCCTGGACCTCTCCGTCTCCATCTCTGGCATCCACCTGGAAACCGATATCCATTTCAAACCTACCGACTCCCACAACTACCTAGAATACACCTCCTCTCACCCACCTTCCTGCAAAAAGGCCATCGCCATCCCCTATTCCCAATTTCTTCGCCTCCGCCCCTGAGATGAGGCATTCCACTCCCAGACATCCCAGATGTTCTCGTTTTTCGAGGACCACAACTTCCCCTCCCCAGTGATCGAAAATGCCCTCAACCGTGTCTCCCGCATTTCCCGCAACTCATCCCTCACACCCCCTACTCGCAATAACAATCGAAACAGAGTCCCCCTCGTCCTCACGTACCACCCCACCAACCTCCGAATCCAACGCATCATCCTCCGACATTTCCGCCATCTGCAATCTGACCCCACTACCAAAGACATTTTTCCCTCCCCACCCTTTATCTGCTTTCCGGAGGGACCACTCGCTCCGTGACTCCCCTCCAGCCCCACCACCCCCGGCAGTTTTCCCTGCCACCAAAGCAAGTGCTACACCTGCTCCTACACTTCCCCTCTCACCCCCATCCCAGGCCCTAAGAAGACCTTCCACATCAAACAGATGTTCACCTGCACATCTGCTAATGTGGTATACTGTATCCACTGTTCCCGTCGTGGCCTCCTCTACATCGGGGAAACCAAGCAGAGGCTTGGGGACTGCTTTGCGGAACACCTACGCTCAGTTCGCAACAAACAACTACACCTCCCAGTCGCGAACCATTTCAACTCCCCCTCCCACTCCTTGGACGACATGTCCATCCTGGGCCTCCTGCAGTGCCACAGTGACGCCACCCGAAAGCTGCAGGAACAGCATCTCATATTTCGCTTGGAAACCCTGCAGCCCAAGGGTATCAATGTGGATTTCACAAGCTTCAAAATCTCCCCTCCCCCGAACGCATCCCAAAACCAGCCCAGCTAGTCCCCGCCTCCCTAACCATTCCTCCCGCCTCAAGCCCCACCCCCATCTCCTACTGTCTAACCTCATCGCGCCTCCTTGACCTGTCTGTCCTCCCTGGATTGACCTATCCCCTCCCTAACTCCCCACCTACATTCACTTTTGCTGACTCCAACCCCGCCTCTTTGACCTGTCTGTCTCCTCTCCACCTATCTTCTCCTCTATCCATCTTCTATCCACCTCCCCCTCTCTCCCTATTTATTTCAAAATCCCCTTCCACTCCCCCATTTCTGAAGAAGGGTCTCGAGCCGAAACGTCAGCTTTCCTGTTCCTCTGATGCTGCTTGGCCTGCTGTGTTCATCCAGCTCTACACCGTGTTATCTTAGATTAAAAAAAGAAACCGGTTTGCTTGCCTAGTTGCAAGGCTGAGGAATTACATGGAAAGATTAGAGAACTGAGGATATTCTCCTTAGAACAGAGAAGTCTAAGAGGAGATTGAATAGAGATTTAGATCCATGACTGGTTTAAAGAAAATCAGTGATGTTGTGTCCAAAGTCTTGAGGGCACAATTTTAAGGTGATTGGCACAAGGACCAGAGGTGACATGAGGAAACCATCTTTCATGTGTTAAGGATTTGAAACATACAACCTCTTGACATGCTGGACATGGATTGAGCAGTAGCATTCAAAAGGGATTTGCGTAACTACTCAAAGGAGGAGAATAACATGAACAAACTGAATTGCTGCTTCAAAGGCTGGTGTAGACCCGCTGGCCACCTCCTGTACTATACTCCACTCTGGTTCTATGAATAACCTAAGGCCGAAAGGGAAAGAAATATCTAGGCACGTTGAGGAAGTGCATGAACCATTTTACTGTCTATAAAACCATTTCCTTTCTACATGATGGGTTATCGATGATGGAAGTGCCTCATATGTTTTGAGGATTAACGTCTGAAAGACTGTGAAAATTGATTCCTATCGAATATTAAGACATCTGGGCCTTTTCATGATTTGAAAGAACATGGTGGCCCACTTTTTATTTCCAAAATCAGTATCCACACGTCTCAAGCGAAGTACAGAACCACAGGCAACGGATTGTGGAACTGCTTGGACTGACTGGAAGTTACATGTCTAAATTTAAGGCTATTAGAGGAGTTGGCTGTTTGATATGGTTAGGATTTCTTTTGTGGTTTAGCCTGTGAAGAGCTACTTTACCCAGCTCAGCCTTTTTCACCTTTCCGAGAACCATTTTTGAGGATCCTGTGTGTGAGGTGAAAAAGTGAAACAGCTATTTATCCACAAGAGGCACTTGGAAGACTTCCTCTTGACGTTTCCTGAATGTTTTGAAGGCGATTGAGGCCAAAATGTTGAATGCTTTCAAGAAAGAGTTAGATGGAGCTCTTGAGGCTAAAGAGATCAAAGGGTATTAGGAGAGAACAGATACAGAGTACGGAATTGGATGATTGGTCATGATCATTTTGAATAGCGGAGCAGGCTCATACGGCCTTATTTTCTGTGTTTCTGTGTCTTGCTTTGGGAATGTCTTGTGACACTTGTTTATTTACGCAGGGAGGTTAGACTGAAGGATATCTAGACTAGACAGCATAGTCTCAAAATAAAGGGGTGAGATGGGAAGGAGTTTCTTCTTTTGAGGTTTGAGAGTTTTTGACACTGTTTGCCACAGAGAGCTGTGGAACAGAATCCTTCTTTATATTTAAGGCCAAGATAGATTATCGATTAGTAGGGGAATTGAGAGTTAATGGGAAAGGGCAGGAAAGTGGACGTGAGGAAGATTGGAACTTCCATGATCCTATTACATAGCTGAGCAGGCTCAAGGGACCGAACAGCCTTCTCCTGTTCCAATTTCTTATGGTCTTATAAAACCAAAATACTGCCAATGTTTTAGATTTCCAGCAAATAGAGAGTGCTGGAGAAGCTCCGGGGAGCCTGGTAGTGTCTGTGGAAAGAAATAGTTAATGTTTCGAGTCTACTCTGACTGTTCATCAGAACTCATTGCAGGTAGTGCTGTGATCTGCAGAGCTATGGATCAAGAAATGGAAAACAGAATTAGGCTGGTGAGTTCTTTTGCAGCCCGCAGAGTCCTGATGTACTATATTGCTTTTTTATGTGTCATAAATGTTTGAGTTTTTATGTGATGTTCTAAATCGCCTTCCTCAGGAAAAGACTGAAGTAAGGAAGATAATTGGTCAATTTATTCAGCAGCCTAGTTGGAAATGAAGCATACCTGCTGGATTTTTCTTCCATATTTTAATGGGTTTAACTTCTGAATTTATGAAACTCTATTGAGAATATCGTAAATTGAATCTTTGGCACTGATGTCAAATTGATCTCTCCCTGCTTGAAGACTGGCAGTTTCACATCTTATTGTCAACTACAGAAACCGATATTGAAGAGCAGTCATGATCAGAGTTTTTGTTTGTTCCCTGGGAACGTACCTTGGAATACTTACCAATCTCTCTCCTTTAGATTGTTACAAAGTTGAAGGATGAGATTTCCACGATGGAGAAAGAACATGATGACCTTCAGCAGCACATTGCCCGAACAGACTGGTGGTGTGAAAATCTCGGGCAATGGAAAGCCACCATTAGCAGCAGCGAGGTGGGTTTTTTCAAACTATCTGGCACAGTACACATCTATGTTGCTGCCCCTATCGTATTGCTTTTTTTGGATGTTCAATTCAACTCAACTCAACTCAACTTAACTCAACAACAGGCCCTTCGGCCCACCAAGCCTGCACCGCATCCTAACCCTTATTTAGACCTGCTACTAATTGCCCATGTGCGGTTTCCATCCCTCTGTTCACCTCCCATTCATGCATCTATCAAGATACACCTTAAACGTGCCTGCTTCCACCACTTCCTCTGGCAGTGTGTTCCATCTAGCCAGTTCACCCCAGACCCCATGAGACTCTACCTTCTGTACCAGCCTGCCATGGGGGACCTTATCAAATGCCTTAATGAAGTCCATGTAGACAACATCCACTGCCTTTCCCACATCAATTATTCTTGTCACCCCCTCAAAAAAACTCAATCAAATTGGCGAGACAAGACCTGCCCTGCACAAACCCATGCTGTCTTTCACTAACCAGTCCATTCGCTTCCAAATGTGAATAAATCTTGTCTCTCATTGTCTTTTCCAACAGCTTCCTCACCACTCATGTCAGGCTTACTGGCGTGTAATTATCTGGAGTATCTCTGTTTCCCTTCTTAAACAAAGGAACAACATTGGTCAATCTTCAGTCCCCTGGAACCTCGCCTGAGGCCAAAGGGGATGCAAAGGTATCTGTTAAGGCCCCAGCTATTTCCTCCCTCATCTCCCATCAAGCCCTGGGGACTTCTGTACATTATTTGGGTATTTGAAGATACCCAACACTTCCTCCTCCATTATATTGACCTGCCCGAAAGCAATCTCACACCTTTTCCTAACCTCCACGTTCCTCACGTCCCTCTCTTTGGTGAATACCGATGTAAAATACTCATTAAGTACTCTGGCTCC